TTTCACCATGAGTCCAAAGGTGACTATAAAAAAGTTAGAGTTTAATGGTTGTGATAGGAGAAAACTGAGAATGGATCAACAATATTGTAGTTACACCACAATACTAATCTAATTGACAGAGTGAAAAGGTAGCCTGTACAGAATAAAAAATATCCTAAAACATGCATCCTGTTTGCAACAAGGCACTAAAGTAATACTGCAAGAAAAATGTGACAAAGCAATTAACACTTTTTTGTATTCAGGACAAAAGGGTTGTGTTTGGGACAAATACAATACATTACCGAGTACCATATTTTCAAGCATAGTGGTGGCTGCATCATGTTATGGTATGCTTGTGCTTATTAAGGACTGGGGAGTTTTACAGGATAAAAAAAAAAAAGAAACAGAATGTAGCTAATCCTAGTAAAAATTTCCTGTCTTAGGTCAGTTAGGATCACCACTTTATTTTAAGAATGTGAAATGTCAGAATAATAGAGAGAATGATTTATTTAAGCTTTTATTTCCTTCATCACATTCCCAGTGGGTCACACATTTACATACACTCAATTAGTATTTGGTAGCATTGCCTTTAAATTGTTTAACTTGGGTCAAACGTGTCGGGTAGCCTTCCACAAGCTTCCCACAATAAGTTGGATGAATTTTGGCCCATTCCTCCTGACAGAGCTGGTGTAACTGAGTCAGGTTTGTAGGCCTCCTTGCTCGCACACACTTTTTCAGTTCTGCCCACAAATGTTCTATAGGATTGTGGTCAGGGCTTTATGATGGCCACTCCAAAACCTTGACTTTGTCCTTAATCCATTTTGCTACAACTTTGGAAGTATGCTCGGGGTCATTGTCCATTTGGAAGACCCATTTGCGACCAAGCTTTAACTTCCTGACTGATGTCTTGAGATGTTGCTTCAATATATCCACAATTTTCCTTCCTCATGATGCCATCTATTTTGTGAAGGGCACCAGTCCCTCCTGCAGCAAAGCACCCCCACAGCATGATGCTGCCACCCCCGTGCTTCACGGTTGGGATGGTGTTCTTCGGCTTGCAAGCGTTCCCCTTTTTCCTCCAAACATAACGATGGTCATTATGGCCAAACAGTTCTATTTTTGTTTCATCAGACCAGAGGACATTTCTCCAAAAAGTACAATCTTTGTCCCCATGTGCAGTTGCAAACCGTAGTCTGGCTTTTTTATGGCGGTTTTGGAGCAGTGGCTTCTTCCTTGCTGAGCAGCCTTTCAGGTTATGTCGATATAGGACTCGTTTTACTGTGGATATAGATACCTTTGTACCCGTTTCCTCCAGCATCTTCACAAGGTCCTTTGCTGTTGTTCTGGGATTGATTTGCACTTTTCGCACCAAAGTACGTTCATCTCTAGGAGACAGAACGCGTCTCCTTCCTGAGCAGTATGACAGCTGCGTGGTCCCATGGTGTTTATACACTGCTCAAAAAAATAAAGGGAACACTTAAAACAACACAATGTAACTCCAAGTCAATCACACTTCTGTGAAATCAAACTGTCCACTTAGGAAGCAACACTGATTGACAATAAATTTCACATGCTGTTGTGCAAATGGAATAGACAACAGGTGGAAATTATAGGTAATTAGCAAGACACCCCCAATAAAGGACTGGTTTTGCAGGTGGTGACCACAGTCCACTCCTAAGTTCCTATGCTTCCTGGCTGATGTTTTGGTCACTTTTGAATGCTGGCGGTGCTTTCACTCTAGTGGTAGCATGAGACGGAGTCTACAACCCACACAAGAACTCCAGAGATGTTCGATCGGGTTCAAGTCCGGGCTCTGGCTGGGCCACTCAAGGACATTCAGAGACTTGTCCCGAAGCCACTCCTGCGTTGTCTTGGCTGTGTGCTTAGGGTCGTTGTCCTGTTGGAAGGTGAACCGTCACCCCAGTCTGGAGGTCCAGAGCGCTCTGGAGCAGGTTTTCATCAAGGATCTCTCTGTACTTTGCTCTGTTCATCTTTCCCTCGATCCTGACTAGTCTCCCAGTCCCTGCTGCAGAAAAACATCCCCACAACATGATGCTGCCACCAACATGCTTCACCGTAGGGATGGTGCCAGGTTTCCTCCAGACGTGATGCTTGGCATTCAGGCCAAAGAGTTCAATCTTGGTTTCATCAGACCAGAGAATCTTGTTTCTCATGGTCAGAGTCCAAGCGGGCTGTCATGTGCCTTTTACTGAGGAGTGGCTTCCGTCTGGCCACTCTACCATAAAAGGTCTGATTGGTGGAGTGCTGCAGAGATGGGAGAACCTTACAGAAGGACAACCATCTCCATAGAGGAACTCTAGAGCACCGTCAGTGACAATCGGGTTCTTGGTCAACTCCTGACCAAGGCCCTTCTCCCCCGATTGCTCAGTTTGGCCGGGCGGCCAGCTCTAGGAAGTCTTGGTGGTTCCAAACTTCTTCCATTTAAGAATGATGGAGGCCACTGTGTTCTTGGGGACCTTTAATGCTGCAGAACTGTTTTGGTACCCTTACCCAGATCTGTGCCTCGACACAATCCTGTCTCTGAGCTCTACGGACAATTCCTTCGATCTCATGGCTTGGTTTTTGCTCTGACATGCACTGTCAACTGCAGGACCTTATATACACAGGTGTGTGCCTTTCCAAATCATGCCCAATCAATTGAATTTACCACAGGTGGACTCCAATCAAGTTGTAGAAACATCAAGGATGATCAATGGAAACAGGATGCACCTGAGCTCAATTTTAAGTCTCATAGCAAAGGGTCTGAATACTTACGTAAATAAGGTATTTGTTTTTTTTTCTATAAATATGCAAAAATATCTAAAAACCAGTTTTTGCTTTGTCATTATGGGGTATTGTGTGTAGATTGATGAGGGGGGAAAACAATGTAATCTATTTTAGAATAAGGCAGTAAAGTAACAAAATGTGGAAAAGGTCGAGGGGTCTGAATACATTCCGAATGCACTCCGTGAAGCATTAGGATATTACAGTTCTTCAAGTCCCATTGACAGGATAGTCTCGAACGGAGCATAGTTTGTTCTCCAGTGATTGTACATTCGCCAATAGAACAGAGGGTAGAGGCGGTTTATTTATTCGCCACTGTCTTTTCTACTTCCGATTGTCGGGGATTAGGGCCTAGTCCCGGGTGAGCAGTATGTCCTGCGCGGACGAGTCATTGAAGTAGAATTCTTCATCCAGTTCGAGGTGAATTATCGCTGTTCTGATGTCCAGAAGCGCTTTTCAGTCAAATTAAACTATGGTGGAAACATTATGTAAAAAATTAATTAATGTCAGCGCCAAAAAATATATACAAAATAGCATAATTGGTCAGGAGCCCGTAAAAACGGCCACTATACATCATAGCGCCATTCTCAATTTTGGTCGGCTCATATAACTCCTATATGTGAAAAAATAAATTACGACCGTGTGCATGGTCAGAAGGATAGCTATGAATCAAACTGGGAAAGATTCTTAGGCTAACAACCCAAGCATTAATTGGGAGTCAGGTGAACTACTTCTCTGTGGTGTGGGGAAATGCGTCAACAAGTGAGAGAACGAGGCTGCAGATTGCACAGAAAAAAGCAGCAAGGATTTTTCTAAGGAGGCGACATTATTATTATGTTGCAGTCATGCACAATGTTCTTAAGTGGTCAGCAATCGACAAGATAAAAAATTAAAAACATGCTCACTTCATTTATTTATTTTAAAAACGGCCAAAACCCATTCACTACAGGATTCAGTTGGTAAGAGAGACATTCAGTCAATACAAAGAATAGGATATCGACCATCCATGTCTTACACCGGCAGAGAAATAAGCAAAATAACATTTAGATTCAGAGCAATAAAACAAATAAACAGAAGATTGAACAAACCAGAAATATTTCAAGAAATACTTTAGGACCACTTGAAAATAGATTGTGATGTTGTTCACGACCATGGTAGATGACTGAATCAACCTATCTTTTCAGACCGTCATTAGTAATTTTTTCCCTGTATACATATTTCTTTAGATAGATATCTCTATCAATGTATTATGGTCTGTTTGTAACATGTTATTTGTGGAAATTTGATTATATTTTAAAGTTTAAGGACTCTTGGAAGATTAGTCCAAATGAGGACCAAAAGAGATCCTAATAACACCTAAATCAATAAACCAAGGAAAATGCATTTAAAAAGTGCATTGAGAGTACTGTATCCTGTGTATGAGGCAAATAAACTTTTCAACTTGAGCTCGCTCGGGGCGCTCTGCACACTGGCTGTTAGAAGAGACTAGATCCATAGACCCCACACCTAACATGAAGTGATGTCATCTTTAGGGGACATCTGTGATTTTAATATCCCTTGGCAGAGGGACAAAGATTTACAGCACACTAACAAACTGCTTTCTTGACATGTTCATCATTAAAAGAAAATATATAATTGAGAACCCGGTAAAAATCTGTAGTTTACAGTAGTAAGTTGGTCTTAACATCAAAAAGCAACATTTGTTTTTATTGAGGCTTGCTCTTTGTTTGACACAAAATGTAAACTCTACAAAAAGTTAATCAAACCAAGTGAATCAACAACAACCCTGACATGACCCAAAAAAACCACAGGCCCAGATCTGAACTCTGTGTGTGTTGGTTGTTGGTAGGGAGAACAGGCAGAGTTCGGCTGAGGTCCCACAATGTTCAGTGAGTCGGTATGCGTTCAGTCAGGGGTATCAGTTCAGCGAGGGGTATCACATCTCCCATCATAAGGGCACCTCATGTACTAGGGGGATCCAATGATGGCAAGCCTATGAATCTCCAACCACCCTGTGCTAGCTGACAGACAATATACAACCACCAAAAAGCCCCTGGAAGTCAACCATAAAGCACCAACAAGCAGCCAGCCACACCACATACCACATACATTGAAGAGAGCTCAAGCAGGAATAGTAACTGGAAGTAGCTTCAGAAAGGTCACTGAGGAAAAAGGGAGGGATGTGCAAGATGGCCAAGACGCAGTGGACAGGAAAGCAGTGAAACAGGACCCTTATATTACCAAGGATCTGGTGAGATCCATGCAAGCTTAGTGGATGGTGTTTCTGGGATTCTGATAGCCTGAAAGGAGGAGAACCTACCTCATTGTAACACACACACCTTTTTAAGTTTAGTGTGGCCTTTTCCTTTGCGCATGGCTGTTTTTAGGGAATTAAAGACAAGAAACAATGTTTTTCTTACAAGCCTAAAATATATGATCTGATATGCTCCCAAGCATGGTTCATTTTCTATCGAGAGGAGGTTAGTTTTGAAGACATTACCTTTGCCATGCCTCTTAGTATTCCCCCGTTTCTGTGCCTGTTGTTTGGACTCTGCGTCGACAGCAGCTGTGGTTGAGGGGGAATCTGATGATTGAGTCTCCTCTAACCCATTTCCATCAGCCCCACTCTCGCTGTTCCCATCGGTCTCTGTATCTCTGTTCTTTGGACCATCCCCACCAGCTGAGAATGCATTCCTGTTCACATTCTCAACCTTGGATTCAGCAGCCTTAACCCCCTCCACCTCTGGGTACTCCTCCTTGAGCTCGCGGTCAGTAGAGGACACCATCCCAGGGTTGAGGTCCTCACTCTTGATGTGATCCTTGGTGGTGGTATGGAGGTCTGAGGGGCCTGAGGTTTTGGGTGAACTCGATTGGAGTGAGGGGTCTGTGGGGAGGCCGGAGGACTCCCCCCCTATGACTGGATCTCCGTCTTGTTGTCCTAGGTCATTGGGTGATGTCACCTTTTCAACTTCATCTTTGGCATCTATAGCAGATAATCCCTTAGGCTTGGTGCCCTGTTCTAGGGGATTAGAGAAAGGAAAACAATTCATTAAAAGACACTCACACAAAGCACGCTTAACTACAGTTACCTCCTTTACAAACGTCCTCTACATTCAACCCTTTCAGATCTACAAGTGCCTAGGGGTTAGAGGTAAGGTAGTGTTACTGGTAGGCCTGTGATACCAGTATCACAATATTTTTTCCATGGCAAAACTGAAAACACGAAGTAGACCAAACTCTTTGGTCCTTTAAAAACCTGCTGTATGTAAAATATTGTTTGCTATTGGTTGGAAAATAAATACATATGACTGGATGACAACATGATGTTTATTTCCAACATTGGTATCGCGATACTGGTAACGTCCCGGCCCTAGTTACTGGACAGGACCTTCATTATATACTGTATTTCAAACAGCCCTGGGCAGCAGCAGAATCAATGGCCGGTCCTATCTTCATGCTCACCACCACGCTGACTGCTGTCCCCTTTCTTGTCCGCAGAAGGCAGGCTGGTCCTGTCGGCCTGAGGCTTGGTCTTCCTCAACGCATAGCCCTTCCTGATGTCAGACAGCAGGTGGTCAATGATGCAGCCCTCCTCCTGGACCGGGGGGGCTTTACGAACTGGGGGTGAGAGACAGGGTGAATCTCAAAACAGTCCACTATTGATACATGCAATGTTCTGGTAGTGTGTTTGAATTTGGACTGGTGAACTGCACTTATCAGGTGTCGACTGTCCTCGAAAGTGGCATCATTTACTAGTCTCCTTTCCTTCATCTGCACTGAGCGATGAAAGTCTTGTGTGAGCAATGCTTTCACTTCCCCAGTTCTAATCGATCAGTGCAGATGAAGGAGCAGACAAGGAAAGGGATCTTCTGAAGAGTATCGAGACCGTCATCCAGAAACCCTTTCAGAAGCAGCACATGATCCGTCTGATGTTGGTAATGGGACACTTGATTCGTGACTAGTCACCAGGGAGTAGAGCTCTGCTACTCGACACCGATGGACCCCGACATTATCAGGTTAGGGCTGGGTAGGGCCTGTTTTTTTCATCTATAACTAGGGTATGGGTAGGGCTCAGGTATCACTAAATTGATCATTAACATTTTGAAGCTGAGCCATTTGCTCATGCTCTGCTGCACAGTACATATCATGGTGTCAGAAGTGCTTCAACGTCGTCAAATATAAGACCATAAGTCCACATGAAAGAATATTTTACCGAAAAATAAATGTTCCTTGAGTTGTCGGAGTTGAGTGATGAAAAGTAGCTAGTTTACAGCTAACTGCTCTCCGTCTCGTCATTGAGCAGAACAGCAAGCAGAGGCGTTGCTATGGATACTCACACAAGCAGAGCCATGCACAGAGCGCATGCAGCGCGAGCAGCACAGGGTGCGAGGGACAGAGACTAGCAGCTAATGGATACTAACAGAGGAAGTTCTTTCTGAGTCGGGCAGGGCCGGGCCTTAAATTTGGCAGAAGCAATCGGACATGGGTAGGATGGTGCCTGAACATCGTGGGCATGGGTAGGGCTTCAAATTAATGCCCGTGCAGGGCTCTACCAGGGACGGCCATGAGGTAACTCTTATTTGGAGTGTTGGCTGGCGGTTATACTCACTTATCTTCCTGTTCTCCCCCCTTGGTCTCTTGGAATCCTCCTCTTCCTGCTGTTTCTTCCTCTTCTCAGCCTTAATGGCTTGCTCTCGGCGGGTCTGATTGTCCTAGGATAAAATACATTTTAAAAAAGCAAGAGCAAACACAGTAGCACAGGTGTCCACAACGCAAATGTGAAACCATAGCAATGTGCTATTTAATCTTTAAACAAAACTGGGGGACCTATTACAGTCAAAAGTTTTCGGAATAAAAGCTTGAATTGAATGGTTTTATATAGGAAAGTCAATAGATGCAAAGTGTTGTTAAGCTGAAGTAGGTCCATTAGTTATTTGTTTCTCTCACCTTGAGAGCTTTGATGAAGAGTCCCCTGAAGGAATGTAAAGTGCTGAACAACTCCTCCAGGGAGAGACGGGATGAGTCCTCACACAGATACTGTGCCAGATCCTCCTTCTTCCTGTCAATGGAGGCAAACCTCGCCTCCAGCTCCCTGCAGGCCTCCTGGCTTCCCTAGAGTAGACAGCCAATTCAGGGGGATTTAGTTATGATCTGGCAACCAACCTGATGGCATGCTAACCTCTGACACCATTAAAAGGGGAGCTTGTGTGAAACCACAAAGTCACCTGCTCTCTGGTGGTGAGGAGAGGAATAGCAACCCACCTGTATGGCAGTGAGATACTGCTCCTTGATGGCCTCCACAGAGGAGGAAGCCACCTTCTTCTCTGAATCTTTCAAACGCTTGATGAGCGAGCTCGCCTCTGACTGGATAGACTCCAGATTCACACTGTGGAAGTAAATAATAAACTTGGTAAGATTAGCATAGCCTCCTGTGTCAATATTTGATTACTCTACAATGTTTTGCTACCACTGAAAAATTGCAACAGATGTATACAGCTTTTTTCCCCATTACCCAGCAGCCTTCTCACAGATCTCTAGATCATCTGGAAGGTTCAACAGGTCATCATGGTTCTGCTCAGCCTCCTCTAGGATGTGGTGGAGCAGCGTGATGCGACTTTTATTGGCCTTGGTTTCAGTGAGTTTCAACAGTGTGCTGATCTTGAAGCCCTCAGCGTTCCCCGTGTGGCTTCCCTGTAGAACAGAGATAGACAGACCAGCGTCAGGGGTCCTCGTTCTCTCACTAACAACGTTGTTGTGAGACCATCTTTTTTGTGTTTGGTTATATGTATTGTATGGCATCACGTTATGGATTCTTACATAGTTGAGGAAGTTTCCAACGTCCAGAATGAGCATGCAGAAGCTTGGCAGTCGAGTGCTCACCCTCAGACCTTACAGGATAGAAATAATAACCCATTAAAAGATAATAAAATAAAAGGATGTTTAATTAGTGGTAGGGCAGCTGAGGGTGGTAGGGCAGCTGAGGGTGGTAGGGCAGCTGAGGGTGGTAGGGCAGCTGAGGGTGGTCCTGGACTTACTCTCACAGGCCTCGTCCAGCAGCTTAGCTTTAGGCTGCATCATCTGTAACACTGAGCTGATCTCCTCACACAGCAACATGCACTCGATCCTCAGGGCGTAGCTGGGGTCAAACACATACAAACAACCAAGGTCAACATCCAGGGTGAATCAGTCCTAGCTCATTGAACGCTATCAAGCTGTGAATAACTTTACCATGGAACAGCTAGGAGCTGGAGATAAAACTGGTCCACACCAGCTAACTTCTCCCTCTCTCCCTGGTAGGACTTGAGGTTCTCAATCTGAGTGGTGGAAAAAATATCACTTTTCTATGACCATAAACTGACAAACATTTGGTTTCCAACACTACTGTACATCTATCAAAACTGAAAATGTATTCAGATCTAAAAATAAAGTATAGCCACTTGGGCTTAACCATTAACTTGGCAGGGGTTCCTGTGGCCGGCACGCACCTCATGCTTCTCTGGCTGTAGCTTTTGCAGCTGTTTCAGCACCTCCACATCAAACTTGGACCGGTCGCCTTTTTGAATCATGGCCACAAAGTCCTTATGTGAGCTGGTAGGGGACACAAAATGTATTTTTAACTCTTCTAATATAAATATCAAGTCTTAAGTTGGTTCCTCTACTAAGGTTCTCTTCTTCATATTTCCTTCTCTGAAAATACTCACCATCTGAATTGTTTCAAGAATATGTTCAGGTTAAGATTTTTCTTGGCATCGATGAAAGAAATCTGTAGATGGAGAAAAAGGATGATGCTTGAAAACAGGGGATGGGGTAAGGAAAATTACAATAATGATAGCAGCGGCGAGAGTAAGATTACAAGGCCATTTCAAAGAATACAATGAGATGCGGTAAGACCACATCTACCTCTTTGGGCTCCTGTTTGACTGCAGGGGTGCTGCCTTTGGCTTTTGACTCAGTCACTGGCAGACAGAAGAGCTCCTCAATACTGGAGTAGTCAGGCTCCAGAGAATCTGCCTGTACCGATGTCCACATGGAGTGACTGTCTGGAGCAAGAGAAAAAAGAATGTACAGTATTTGAATTGTGATTTATACACTACACAGTTTGAATTTATCCAATGGGCACTTATCAGGATCAGCTGTATTTCTTAGTTTAATTCAATGGTGACACAAACTGACATGTCCCTTACCAGTCACCACTCTGGATGGCAGCTTCTGCCAGTTGAGCTTCTTCATACGCAGTGTGGGGCAGCGGCCCGCCTTGGGTGAAGGGGCGTAAAAGGATCGCCCCTGAGTCTGCACACTCTGGGCCACTATCATGTCACCGCCACCAGGGGGAGGTGGAGGACCCATCCCAGGCAAGGGTGGGGGAGGTGGAGGACCCATCATGGCAGGTAGGGGTGGGGGAAGCGGTGGACCTCCATGCCCCATCCCTGGTAGAGGAGGTGGCAGAGGAGGGAGACCAAGGGGAGGTGGTGGGGGAGGCATCCCAGAGAAGCCAGGAAGTGGAGGGGATGGGATGAAAGTTCTCATGCTTGGTAGGGGTGGTGGTGGAGGGGGAGGAGGACAGGGAGGAGGTGGAGCAGAGGCAATAGGGGCAGTAGATTCTTTAATGAGGACATCTGATTGATCGGTCAATCTGTCCATCAGGTCTATCTGAACGCCCCGGTCAGTGGTCTTGACCTTAGGTGACCCTTGCTGACCCTTGGAGAACACCAGACGTTCCATCAGGCTCTTGGTGGAGTCAACTTCAGCTAAAGAACACACACGCACAGACAATGTAAGCGCGACTTAAACCAGCCAAATCATGTCAGCGTACAGGGCCACACTAAATAAATTGTGAAAATAATGTTTATGGACTATGAGAAGGTGATTGATGTGAGACTCACGGTCCTGTGCCAGCAAAGTAGCACGGTCAGCCAGGGCCTCCAGGGCCAGCCACACCTCGCTGCGCTCCGGCCCTACCAACAACAGAGCCTGCAGGATGGACAGCAGCTGCACCGATGCAGGGGAGCTACTCAACTGGGGCGAGGGGAGAGAGAGGAAATTATATTATTTGTATTATCTGCTGTGGGTTTTATTTACAAATAAATATACCCTTTATTGGTGCTTACTTTGGTGAAGAGTGTGGTGAAGACTTCCTGGTGACTGCTCATGTCGATGCCTCCGTACACCCTCTCCATCTCCTCCTCATCCTCTGCCATGGTGTCCTCAAAGGCCTCGCACTGGATGTTCAGGTCCACATCCTCGGTCTCTCTTTAACACACACAAATATGCATTTCCATGGGATAAAACAAGTGGCAGTGTGAAAGAAAATGTGTGCCGTGAAGAACAAAGCATTTGCTAATTTACAAAATGGAATCCCAAATAATTATGCAAAAAAATAAACTTACCTAAGTTTTGGAACTAAATGCAGTAATTGAAGCCCTGGGAAGACAAATAATTTAATCACAGCCATGTTCAAAATGTGTATCCAGTTCGACATGTCCATCTCCATTTCCTGTATTCAAGTCATTGCTTATAACGATTGGAATATCTTCATTATTCTGATTTATTTTTGCAACATATGTAACACGGCACACCAAGTAAGCACTGGTGTGGTACTTATTGATACTAGTAATCCATTTGTGCAAGGTTGATCTTTAAAGCTAGAGTCCTTAATTCAAACAATAACAAAGCAGCACCCCACCTCTGTTTCCAGGATGGGCCTGGAGAAATGTAACCACTCAAATGAATAGAGCTATGGATGCAGGGACTGACCATCCATGATAACAAAATTATGATTTTAACCATGTTCCGAGGCTATACAGTGTTTGATTTCAAACATTGGTGAAAAACCAGCTAATATTTTGGGTTCTGATGGGGTACGACAGTTAAACTAAGCTCATGAGGCATTTATAAGCTATATTCTTCAAGAATCAAATGGATTATATACAGCTGAAGTCGGAAGTTGACATACACCTTAGCCAAATACATTTAAACTCAGTTTCACAATTCCTGACATTTAATCCTAGTAAAAATGCCCTGTCTTAGGTCAGTTAGGATCACCACTTTATTTTAAGAATGTGAAATGTCAGAATAATAGTAGAGAGAATGCTAGATTTCAGGTTTTATTTCTTTAATCACATTCCCAGTGGGTCTGAAGTTTACATACACTCAATTAGTATTTGGTAGCATTGCCTTTAAATTGTTTAACTTGGGTCAAACGTTTTGGGTAGCCTTCCACAAGCTTCCCACAATAAGTTGGGTGAATTTTGGCCCATTCCTCCTGACAGAGCTGGTGTAACTGAGTCAGGTTTGTAGGACTCCTTGCTCACACACGCTTTTTCAGTTCTGCCCACACATTTTCTATAGGATTGAGGTCAGGGCTTTGTGATGGCCACTCCAATACCTTGACTGTTGTCCTTAAGCCATTTTGCCACAACTTTGGGAGTATGCTTGGGGTCATTGTCCATTTGGAAGACCCATTTGTGACCAAGCTTTAACTTCCTGACTGATGTCTTGAGGTGTTACTTCAATATATCCACATAATCTTCCTTCCTCATGATTCCATCTATTTTGTGAAGTGCACCAGTCTCTCCTGCAGCAAAGCATCCCCACGCTTCACGGTTGGGATGGTGTTCTTCGGCTTGCAAGCGTTCCCCTTTTTCCTCCAAACATAACAATGGTCATTAAGGCCAAACAGTTCTATTTTTGTTGTTTCATCAGTGTTTCACATTTCTCCAAAAAGTACTATCTTTGTCCCCATGTGCAGTTGCAAACCGTAGTCTGGCTTTTTTATGGCGGTTTTGGAGCAGTGGCTTCTTCCTTGCTGAGCCTTTCAGGTTATGTCGATATAGGACTCGTTTTACTGTGGATATAGATACTTTTGTACCTGTTTCCTCCAGCATCTTCACAAGGTCCTTTGCTGTTGTTCTGGGATTGTTTGCACTTGTCACACCAAAGTACGTTCATCTCTAGGAGACAGAACGAGTCTCCTTCCTGAGCGGTATGACGGCTGCGTGGTCCCATGGTGTTTATACTTGCGTACTATTGTTTGTACAGATGAACGTGGTACCTTCAGGCATTTGGAAATTGCTCCCAAGGATGAACCAGACTTGTGGAGGTCTACACATTTTTTTTGAGGTCTTGGCTGATTTCTTTTGATTTTCCCATGATGACAAGCAAAGAGGCACCGAGTTTGAAGGTAGGCCTTGAAATACATCCACAGGTACACCTCCAATTGACTCAAATGATGTCAATTAGCCTATCAGAAGCTTCTAAAGCCATGACATCATTTTCTGGAATTTTCCAAGCTGTTTAAAGGCACAGTCAACTTAGTGTATGTAAACTTCTGACCCACTGGAATTGTGATACAGTGAATTATAAGTTAAATAATCTGTCCGTAAACAATTGTTGGAAAAATGACTTGTGTCATGCAAAGTAGATGTCCTAACAGACTTGCCAAAACTATAGTTAGTTAACCAGAAATTTGTGGAGTGGTTGAAAAAGTAGTTTTAATGACTCCAACATAAGTGTACGCAAACATCCGACTTCAACTGTTTATATGTTTATATGTATGTATATATATATGTATATATATATTTTTTTTTAAATCATTTATAAGTCCAGAAATTGAGGTAGCAACTATGGATTCTAGCTTTTAAGAGTTCAGACACTCCTTAAGCCTCCGACTGTTTCCACGTCAATTAGACATACCTATGGCAATTGAAACCTTTCTCACGAGACAATGAGGGACTTCATCTCCTTGTCTCTTTTCTTCTATTCACACTAATATCTGTGTCTCTATTACATGAGTTTTGAAAAAGCATGATTAAGAGGTAGTGATACCGATGAACTCTTTGCGTAGTTTGTCCCTCTTCCTCAGGTCCTCTACTCCGAAGATGATCACGTTGACCACACTCATGAGGACGACCATGTACGGAACGTTATCAGTCGTATGCAGTTCATTCATGATGACGCTGAAGCGGTACTGCTGCATCTTCACACTCTGTCAGAGACACACAGTTAAAGATGACTTATGGTTATCATCCCTAATTCATGAAGCGGGAGCAGAAGATGTCTTATCTAAAATAGGTTTTCCGTCCCTTAGATGAGGGAAAATATATTTCCACAAGCCTCCTTTCATACTTTGTATGAACACATGGGGCATCAATGCTGCTTCAGCTGACAATTGCTTTGAAAGTGAAAAATATTAATATAAATCATTTGTCTACATGTACATTTATGATGTTATGCTGTATGAAAAAAGGTGGCCTCACTTTATAGTGCTCCAGGGCATCCATGGCCAGGTGGTGTCCCTGTGGGTTAAACAGGCCGAGGGCCGCCAGCAGCTCAAACACCTGCATCTTCACCATGGTGTTGGACGTGTCCAGGGCTGCCAATCAAAACAGAGATCATGTCCCAGCAGACAGACAGACAAGACAGGCAGGCCTGTTCACCTCTTCCCAAGCTCCCTTACCACCCGCCTGCCACCCTGCTTACTAACCCTCTTTCTCACCTTGCGACAGGGTCCTGACGTATCCCTCATTGTCTAGAATAAAGTGCAGCCCAGCTGAAGAGTTCATCACTGCCTTCACACAGGCCACACAGGTGAGCTGGAGGAGGGCGTCAGCGATGCGGGCACACCCCCGGCCAGACAGCCTCTGCAGGGCCTCCATCAGCAGATCCAGTCCATTGAGCTCCAGGAACTGCACCATCCATTCCTGGTCACTCCCCTCCAGACGCCGCCGCACCCCTGAGTAGTTGACCACTGTGGGTACCTGTAGTAGTCGTATGCATAGCTCTGGATCTGAGTTCTCCAAGTTGGCTTCCAGGTGAGCATCTGGGTCAGGGGGGCTGCTGGTCAAGTGCTCCTTCAGGGCCCCCCACTTGCCTTTGGATGCCATAGCAACCGAGAAAAGGGAGCTGGAGGTAGAGAAAAGGGTGCAATGTTTGTGTTGTGACACAAGAGTGAAACAGAGACCCACAACAGTAGAAAGAATGTAAAAAATAAGTCTAAATTATATTGGTTGGATTCAGAGGAACTACAAAATATGATTGAGAAGATCCACAAAACGAAAGTTGGGAGGTAGTAAAAGCAGGGTCTCGATTTTCAAAAGACACCTGCCTGATAAGAAAAAACATGACATTATAATAAAGCATTGCATGCATTTATAGTTGCATAGTGGCATACAGTGGAGTTTGAACCCCGTCTCAGTCACTATTGCCCAGCAAAGCTCAGAAAATGGCGCTAGCGAAGACGAGTGAGAATGAAGGCGAAGAGAATACTGGATGGACTACAGTCGCTAAAGGACAGAAAAATCTACTGAATCCACTATGAATTCAGGCTGTAACACAGCAAAATGTGGAATAAGTCAAGGCAAATGTTTACTGGTTGCTCAGGATGGAAAGGGGAAGTCAGACCTGTAGAAGACATTTGACTTAGTTGTGGAAACTATTGGAGATCAAGAAAAAGGAGGGTATAGGAGCAAGCGTTGTGTGAGTATTGTGTGCCAAACAGTTCATTAGATTTCAATATTATTTTTTCTGACCATTTGGAACAGTGTAAACGACAAAGCCCCCTCAGGAGACTGAAAAGATTTGGCATGGGTCCTCAGATCCTCAAAAAATTATACAGCTGCACCATCGAGAGCATCCTGACTGGTTGCATCACCACCTGGTATGGCAACTGCTTGGCCTCCGACCGCAAGGCACTACAGAGGGTAGTGCGTACGGCCCAGTACATCACTGGGGCCAAGCTTCCTGCCATCCAGGACCTCTATACCAGGCGATGTCAGAGGAAGGCCCTCAAAATTGTCAAAGACTCCAGCCACCCTAGTCATAGACTGTTCTCTCTGCTACCGCACGGCAAGCGGTACCGGAGTGCCAAGTCTAGGTCCAAAAGACTTCTCAACAGCTTCTACCCCCAAGCCATAAGACTCCTGAACAGCTAATCATGGCTACCCGGACTATTTGCACTGCCCCCCCACCCCATCCTTTTTACGCTGCTGCTACTCTGTTAATTATTTATGCATAGTCACTTTAACTCTACCCACATGTACATATTACCTCAACTAGCCGGTGCCCCCGCACATTGACTATGCAACGGTACCCCCCTGTATATATAGCCTCCCTACTGTCACTATTTTACTTCTGCTCTTCTTTTTCTCAACACTTTTTTTGTTGTTGTTTTATTTTTACTTTTGTTAAAAATAAATGCACTGTTGGTTAAGGGCTGTAAGTAAGCATTTCACTGTAATGTCTGCACCTGTTGTATTCGGCGCATGTGACCAATAAAATTTGATTTGATTTTAAATAAGTGTACCAGAGAGCCTGAAAATAAATAAAATAAATAAAAATGCCTTTATTAGAGCAGACTAAACTGTTTCATGCATTCGTGAATATTTATTTGGGCTAATTTTTCAAAGCTCCCTTTGTTAATTAATTTTAAAACGAAAATGCTTATTTGCATTTCAAAACATGAATGTCTCTTATGCTGTGTGATGGCATGAACTAATGAATGAATGAATGAATGAATGAATGAATGAATGATGGATCGATACAGTAACCTATATTGAAATATAGGACTAAGTTACAGTATTAACACTAAACAGGACGCACTGTTAGGCCTACAGCTCGATGGTGGTTATACAACGCTACTATACAAAGCCTACTAAAGATCACGACAATTATTATGATGATAATATAATTGTAATAACAATAAGGAGATGAAGAAAAAGGAGGGAGAGCTGCGTGCATATTATGTGTGACAAACAGGTGCTGTTAGATTAAAATATTATTTTTCTGCCTGTTTGGAACAGTGTAAACAACGCTAAAATTGTAAATAAAACCAGTCTGTTCTAACGATAAAAAAAAAAAAAAAAGACTTCATTACTTCATAGCAATGACTGAAAACAGACAAATCTGTGTAATTGCTTTATCCGACATTTTGCTGTTGCATGAGGCTTGGTGCTCACGGAATCAGTAAGCTATTAAACAAACACTCAAACAGGCAACAGAAGCAGGATCTGAAGATTAGATGGATAATTTATAAAGCCAGGCACAGTTAGACTCTCTCCTCCATTTTGTTTGACAATTAGGCTAAGGCAAGGGCTGTTTTCTCGTCTCTGCCGCATTGTTCTCAATCCCAATATGCTGGTTAAATTTTGCTATTATGCACATAGCAACAAAGGGAACGGCTAAAATTCTACAGCGCGCTGCAGATTGTTTCAGAACCGCGGACAGCGACCGTTCCAACGCGAGAGAAAGCGCATTTGTTATAAAAATATTTGATTTATTAGTGTTGCACCATTATTTTTACATAATATAACCATATACAATTTCAGTATCACGTCTTCGAGTGATGACTGTGCCATCCCTGTGGCCTCCACAATGGATTAGTCCACTGAGACCGGCGTGAATCAGACAGGTGTCTTGATCGCCATTACATTTTTTATACTAATTGTGACTGCTTGACCAACAGCCTAGCGACCAAACAAATCGACCAGTCAGTGGTGTAAAGTACTTAAGTAAAAATACTACTTAAGTAGTTTGTGGTATCTGTACTTTACTATTTATATTTGACAACTTATACTTCACTACTTTCCTAATGAAAATAATGTCATTTTTACTCCATACATTTTCCCTGACACCCAAAAGTACTTGTTACATTTTGAATGCTTAGCAGAACAGGAAAATTGTCCTATTCACACACACTTATCAACATCCCTGGTCATCCATACTGCCTCTGATCTGGTGGACTCACTAAACACACATGCTTTGTTTGTAAATTATGTTTGAGTGTTCCCCTGGCTATCCATAATAAAAAAATTATAAAAAAAGTGGCACCGTCTGGTTTGCTTAATATAAGGAATTGGAAATGATTTATACTTAAGCATATTTTTGCAATTACATTTGCTTTTATATTTAAATTGAAATACTTTTACTCAAGTAGCATTTTACTGGTTGACTTTCACTTGAGTCATTTTCTATTAAAAAAGGTATCTTGACTTTTACTCAAGTATGACAAATTGGGTACTTTTTCCACCACTGCAACCAGTCGACTAAATGGGGCAGCCCTAAGTCACTAAAACCCTTAACAAAGAGTTGCAGTCTGTTTTGGAATGGGTGGTCAGTAATAAACTGGTCCCGAACATCTAAAACTAAGAGCATTGTATTTGGTACAAATCATTCCCTAAGTTCTAGACCGCAGCTGAATCTTGTAATGAATGGTGTGGCTGTTGAACAAGTTGAGGAGACCAGATTACTTGGTGTTACCTTAGATTGTAAACTGTCATGGTCAAAACATATAGATTCAGTATTTGTAAAGATGGGGAGAGGTCTGTCCGTGATAAAAACATGCTCTGCTTTTTTGACACCACACTCGTTCTTTTCTTATCTTGATTATTGTCCAGTCAAATGGTCAACTGCTGCAAAGAAAGACCTAGTTAAGCTGCAGCTGGCCCAGAACAGAGCTGCTCATCTTTCTCTTCATTGTAAATCAGAGGGCTAATATTAATACTATGCATGCCAGTCTCTCTTGGCTACGAGTTGAGGAAAGACTGACTGCATCACTTCTTGTTTTTGTAAGAAACATTAATGTGTTGGAAGTTCCTAATTGTTTGCATAGTCAACTTACACACAGCACTGACACACACTTACCCCACCAGACATGCCACCAGGGGTCTTTTCACAGTCCCCAGATTCAGAACAAATTCAAGGAAATGTACAGAATTATACAGAGCCATGAGTGCATGGAACTCACTTCCATCTTATATAGCTCAAGTGAACAGCAAACCTGGTTTCAAAAAATAAAGCAACATCTCACGGCACAACGTCTCTCCTCCATCTGACCTACTTGTTGTGCACATGCACACACACACGTACGTTCATAAATGTATGCAAATAGTAAAGTATTGTCTGTATGGTATTTTTCGTTATGTGTCGGACACCAGTAAGACCAGCTGTCGCCATTGGCGTCAGCGAATGGGATCCTAATAAAATCAAATCTAACCTATTCCATTTTACAAGTAAATATGCTTGACTCATGTGTTACTTCCATATACAGTTTAATTGGAAAGTATTCAGACCCCTTCACTTTTGCCACTGTTACATTACAGCCTTATTCTAAAATGGATAACATTTTTTCCTCATCAATCTACATACAACACCCCATAAAGATGACGCGAACGGGTTTAGACATTTTTGCAACTGTATTAAAAATAAACTGAAATACCTTTTCTACATAAGTATTCAGACCCTTTGCTCTGAGACTCAAAATTGAGCTCATGTTCATCCTGTTTCCATTGATCATCCTTGATGTTTCTACAACTTGGAGTCCACCTGTGGTAAAATCTATTGATTGGACATGATTTGGAAAGGCACACACCTGTCTATATAAAAAGGTCCTACAGTTGACAGTGCATGTCAGAGCAAAAACCAAGCCAGGAGGTCGAAGGAATTGTCTGTAGAGCTCCAAGACAGGATAGTGTCGAGGCACAGATCTAGGGAAGGGTACCAAAAAATTTCTGCAGCATTGAAGGTCCAAGAACAGTGGCCTCCATCATTCTTAAATGGATGAAGTTTGAAACCACCAAGACTTCCTAGAGCTGGCCGTCCAGCCAAACTGAGCAATCGAAGGAGAAAGGCCTTAGTCAGGAAGGTGACCAAGAACCCGATGCACTCTGACAGAGCTCCAGAGTTCCTCTGTGGAGATTGGAGAACCTTCCAGAAAGACAACAATCTCTGCAGCACTCCACCAATCAGGCCTTTGTGGTAGAGTGGCCAGACGGAAGCCACGCCTCAGTGAAAGGCACATGACAGCCCGCTTGGATTTCGCCAAAAGGCACCTAAAGACTCTCAAGACCATGAGAAAGAAGATTCTCTGGTCTGATGAAACCAAGATTGAACTCTTTGGCCTGAATGCCA